GGTTGAATGGCCTTGAGAGAAATTCGTCTGATTTTCGCGGTTTCGGTGCACATCAGTCGTCATTGGTTTCCGGTGAACAGTCGCTGATATGTAACAAAAGTTGCACACATTAGTTGACAGAAAACTTTCACAGGCCAATCACTGAGTGCTGAGGTTGGATACATCGGCATGCAGCAACTCTGAGAGTTGCAAGCCAGCTGAAAACTCTTCAGAGCTTTGTAGATAGTGTGCAAGCAAACATTCAGTGGCATCGCAAGCAAAGGACGCTTGTGTTTGCGGTAGGTGGCATGCATCAAGTGCAAAGGATTTGTTGCTCGGTGTGCAATGTACAAACTCGGAGTCCGGACATGTTGCTGTTTTTAAAGTCTTGGAAAGCGTCCAACTTAAACCTTGGGTGCGTGAGGGCCTTTTCCGGATAAATTGTGGGGCAGTGGGAAAGCAGCCGGTGACCAGTCAAGCAATTGGGCACGCATGCGAATTTGTGCTTTTGTTGAGTCCAACGGTTTTCAAAGAAAGCACAAGCAGGAAAGCTTAGCTGTGAATAAGGGCCTCCCATACTTTGCTTGTTTCTGAACATCACTTTCCATCACAAGGCACATCACTCCATCCCTTTCTGAGAGCGAGCTTCTCTTTGGTCGCAACACTCCCAGCCACTCCGAGCTTCCTCACTCGCTCGCTTGGCTCGCCTCGGGTCCAGCTTGCGCTGATTGCAGCGCCACTTGGACAAAGCATGCCCACCCCCTTAGGCCCCGAAAATGGTGGAGGGGTCTGAAAATGTAACTTGCATTTTCGGCCCCCTCCCCCCCAAAACAAAAACAATGTAAGGCCCCGCCCCCCCCGGGTGTGGATTTTGTGTGGGGGGGGGAGGGGGGAGGGGGGTTAAAATGTAGCTTGGCAGCTGCACGTAGAAAGTTACTCTTTCTCTCACACGCACACCCCAACAAAACAAGTGATTGACAGGTTCAAGCATCTTCCTGGGAAGGGCGGGAAGTCGCAAATTTAAGCTGATGATGCTGTGGAGGGGCAGATGTGGCAAATGCACAGAGGCTTTTGAAGGGAACTTGGTTTCGTGCGAGGTACCTTGTTGAATGGGCCCACCAGCGTCCAAAATGTAATCTTACATTTTGGCACGTCTCCAGAAGAAAATGCAATTTTACCTTTTTAGGTGGCAATCCCAAGAAAATGCAAATTACATTTCCAGACGTCCCCCCCCCATAAAGCATTAGGAATGATAAAGCTGGATTTTGACAAGTAGTTGGAGATGGCGCCCGGCAAAGCAACCTGACCCATACTTCAGGCTCCTTTCTTCACAGTTCTGTTTGTTCCGATCCAGTGCTGTTCAAGTTGCTTCTGTAAAAGAAAGGGGTGAGCATGTCAAGGGGAGGGATTTGTATAGGAGGCAATTTCTGGGGGCAAACTGTGTGTTGTGATGTCAAGCTTTTTCCCGTTCTACATGTTGGCAGCATTCAGGTAACTTGAGTATCAGCGATCTTGTGAACATCTCCAAATGCGTGTTTGTTTTTGGAGTGTGCGAATCGTGGAGACGTAGCTTGCATACATTGTGACTTGGAAAAAACTGCCTGGTGTCCCACATGGGTGAAGAGCAATGAAGTGATCAGCTTCGCGCACATGTTTACTTTCTGGCGACAGGGCGCTGGCGCACAAATCAATGAAGGACACCCCCTACCCAAATGTTATTTTACTATGACTCTTTCCTCATTTTCGCCGATTCTCAAAATGGCTACACTCAATGACTGGTGGTGAGGCTGAGCTCAGGCAAAGCCTTGTGACAAGGGATACCTTGGCACTGTTTGCTTGCTTTTGCTACCAAGATGCATGATTAGCCGAAGGCCCGTTCGCATGGGATGCCACCACAATCCGGTTACTTCCACTTGGCGCTGGACAGTGCTGGTACTTCCCAACCGTGTCATTCGCTTGCAGGGCCATGGTTGTCGCCAGGCAGGGAATGGGCAAGGGGTGACAGCCAAGAGGTAGGCTTCCACACTGTGGGCTATCGCCAGACTTCACACATGTCCTTCATTATACTATTAACACTTGATGGCAGTCACAGCCACGGCACGACCAACGAGGATCATCATAAACAATCGACAGTTCGATGAGGCAGCTGGTGTGTGACTGCTCAGAAGCAGCGCTTGCAGAAGCAGTCTGAAGACAGATGTGACGAATAGTTAAAACAGGATATTGTGTGACCATGGCAAACTGTTCACCCCGGGCACGCTGTGCTTTCTTGGCTTTCCAGGCTTGTGATAAACTATTTGAGCAGAGTGTTCGTGCGGGTATCAGGAACTGCTTCTGTCAGCGCGGAATCGAAAGAAGCTGTGTAGTGAAATGAGATCCTTTGGGAAGCTCATGGTAAGATACTTCAAGCTGCTCAGGCCGTCACGTGGAGGCACTGGCTCGTCCAGGAGAAATGTCTGCGCTTCCGTGGTCTAGGAACAAACTAAGGGAACTGGGTGAGTATTCAGAGGAAATGATCCTCCTACAGAACCCCCTTGTGTGAAACTGCTATGAGGCTGCTGTGTTGCTGACTTTCCTACTGCCAGCTTGCCATGAGTGGATGTCCATGTATTATGACTAGGGACTTTTGAGTCAGGGAGAGTTCGGCATTTTTATGATGATGTCAGAAGACAGTCAGCGTGCGCAGGAAGGATCGGCTAGAGCAGATTTATTGTCGAGAAGCCCAGAAGGACTGACAGTGGGGCAGAATTCAGGGATGGGTAGGGGATGGCACTGCTGAGAAATGTTCACAGCTGTGCTTTGCATTTGAGAGTCGCTGTATGAGACTTATCACACCGGGAAAGGACTTGGATGGCTTGTATCTGAAAGGACAGGAGTTCATTCCGCTGCATCATTGAGCAAAGCGCTGGTGCTGCCAAGATGGATTCAAGGTGGAAGGAAGGTGGATGAATGCAAAATATGTATTCTTTCTTTCTTGTTGTTTGACAACTGTGACCCTTTGCTTCTCAAATCTAACGTCTCTAATTGGCTCCTTGTGCCTTGACGTTGGTGGTTTGACAGGTTCACAGTGGCGGGCCCGCTGCAGTGTGTAGTCCAAAAGCTGGAAGCATTGTTGCGGCGTCCAGGATTTACTCGTTTCCAAGTACTTTGACCAGCAGCCTGGCAGACAAGAGGGTTACAGGGGTCACGGACGCTGGAGCAAACATGTGCAGCATTGCTCCAAGCCATTGCATGGTCCAGCACCAACACCCAGACCCAGCTGGCTTGCAAGGGTTTGCAGCCGTTCGCCTAGTGCTTTTGAGATAGAGGACGGCGCTCAGCATGCAAGTAGCAATGGATGCGATATCTTAGACGCTTGGGTGGCTTTGCAGGCAGTCTCAGCCCGACGAGCTACGCAAAAAGCCAATCTGTGTAAAGTTGGTCAGTCCAGAAGGCTAGCCGGCTCAAGTCCTGCGAAAGTCTTTCAACAATTCGACAGGCACCTGACTTGCACTGCAGGTGCAAGGTGCGTCGCCAGGCAGGGAACGCGGAGGGGACCTTGCGGGAAGCAAGGATCAGTGGGGAGGATGATTGAGCAGCGCGTCCAAGGCTTGCCAATTGATACTGCACCCATAGCAACTTATCATGTCGAAGATACATTACACAGTGTATGAGATCTGCTCAATCTACCAACACCTGCCAATCCAGCATGGCGTGGGGCAGAAATACTGATTTGTACAGCATAATACGCCAATCATGTTCCAGCCTTTAAGTTAATTGTTCGAACATTGACAGGCCGTTCAGTTTAGTTAACTCCTTTTGCACTGGTGATCCGCACAGGAGAAATGTACATCCGTTCAGGGTCACAGGGCCTGTATCGAATCCTTATCGGCTGACGCCTGGAGAAGTTGCAGAGCTCAATCTTATTGATCTTGGTTTGCTAAAATCGTCGTGAAGCTTGATAAAAACTGTCACTTTGGTCCCGCTTAAATCAGGTAGTGGAACTCTATATTCTTCGGCTGGACTGGGTGGGTAGTGTTGTTCTGCGATTTAACAATGCCTTTACAACACGTGAGCTTCTCAGAAGGCCTGCATTCGGCTTGCTTGGGACAAACTCGCCGCGAGCCAGGAAAGTGCAACGGATGATGCTTCTGCAACTTCGCACCAGGAGCTCTTGGAAGGGTGCGGGCAGAGAGTGGCTGAACCGTTGGATTGCATGGGGCTTGTCAGATGGACTTCGTAGAAGGACCTTTTGGGTTCTTCTTATTCAGCTGAACTTTCACTTGCTTTGAGCTGCACAAGGGCGTGACATGAGTCACAACTTGAATCACCTTGCAAGGAGGTGGGAGGGGCATGGCCATCTGCCCCCGTGCAACGTGCAACATGCCCCCGTGCAACAGGGAAAATGCAACGGCCCCTTGGTGAAAGCTTGTTGAGTTCTTGGTTTGATTGCTGTTTCTAAATTCCAGAGGTGCATGTGTGTTTGCTGTTGAAATATCCTTTGACGAAGATGTCCTGCCAGACATCAGTTGGCTTATGAGCACGGCTCAAGTGTTGTTGGAAGCTGCTTGTCTTAAAGATAGCTTGGGCATAGCAGGGCAAGGTATAGGGCAATCTCGTACACCCTTCCAGTGTTCCGGCGCAACGCAGGACCAGCTTCTTGTGCAGGGCTCGGGCATCGAGGCGTGAAACAATTCATGGTGACCAGGGTGATGCAGCTGGTGATGTCATTGTCATGGTGATGTTTAATTTGTGATCTGATCGGATTGATGTGGTGAGGTCATGTAAGCCTGAAGGATGCCTTGTACAGGTCGCGCCCGAGGATGAGAAGCCTGAGCAGCTTGTCTCTCGATTTAGACCCAAGTGACTAAGCGGACGACTGCTCGGCTGTGGGCGGATGCAGAATGCGCATTTGAGAGAATGTTGGTTCAGCAATCCACCTGCATCCAAAGTTCAGGCCTCGGCTAGCTGAGAGTCTTAGAGTCTCTATGGGCTTGGAACTGCGTTTTGAATTGCCCACAAGTCATTGGACCCTTTGGCCATAGGTTCAAAGCTTTGACTGAAAGGCATTCAGAACTGGCTTTCACAGGGCCGTGCTCGAGGCCAGAGGATGACGCGGTGTCCTCCTACTCGGTGTCAGCGTTGGAGCCTCAATGTCATGTCAACATAGCGACGGGGCTTGCATGTGCTGTCCATTGGCAAAACACGTGCAGAATGCGCAAAGTGTCCAAACTCCGTATCTCTGGCTCTTGCCAGGCTTCACTTGGGTGATGGAACGGCCAACCATGCAGGCTGAGTTTCAGTCTGCTCAACTGGCAAACGCGATATCGTAACTATTTGCTGCACTCAATTTCCACTATGATTTTCTGGGGCATTTGCCTCGGGACCACTGCAGAGTTTCCGTCACCATTCAGTGTTGATACAACTGAGTCTCGTTTGGCCAAGGTACACCACGGGAACGCCGCAGCAGCGCAATGGCTCCATTTCGGCCGGGCTCCAAGGGCCTAAGAGCTTCGTGATCCTGAAGAGCTTTCGGCTTTTTTCTGACACCAGACAAATATTTGCGCATTTTTGCCAGCATGGAGCCCCAACAAGAGCCTGGACAAGAATCCCTATGAAACTTACCAGGCGTGCTAGCAGTTTTTATCTGCAGAGCACGCAGCACTGCATGTGCTCTCCTGGCGTCCATGTACGGACCTAAACCAACTTGCGTGTTTGCAGTCGCCATGCTGTAAACTGTTATAAAGACAGAACATGCATCCGTTCGCGGACAACCACCCGAGAGGCATATTTGTTGACCGAGGCAGTACGCATTGCGCATTGCAGGAGTAATGTTGATGTATGTTGTACGGGCGCTGAAAGACACCATGAGCACCTGGCGCCAGGAAGCGTGTCCATACTTTGTTAATCAATACTTGCTACAAGCGTTTCATGAAATGAAATCCCTAAACATATTGACTCCTGCATGTTTTATTGACGCTTGTGCGACATACCGATGAATACCCATGTCACAACGCGCAGACGCATGGCACATGCCCCGAGCCTCAGGCCAGGCTACCTACTCCGGTCATCCGACCAGGCCTGCAGAATAGCCTAGGCTGTCCTTGCCGGTACCAAGTATTGCCAGCGAGGTGTATGTCTATCACGACTCGTTTCAAGAAATAGCGCTTCCTAGATGCCAGATGCTGGCTGCCCCTCGCATAGCGCAGTTGGGATGAAGGGTTCAGATGCGACATTGAGACACCATCTTTAGAATTTGCATCGCTAGCTGTGCGCGAGTGGCCGACATCTTCATCAGCTGTTCTTTGCAATGAACATTTCCTAGATGACGGACGAAAGGAAGTTGCGGGGCAAGATACAAGGCAGGAGATATTTATAATATATGAAGGAAGGAGGGTGATATCAAACTTGCCCAGAAGCCAAATACCACTGCTTACAGCACTCGCCTAAGACGGAAACATGTTTTTTTTTTTTTCCAGGTCTCCTTTCTTGGTTTATAATTTGCCACAAAGCAATATGTAGCACATCTTGCACAATGTGTCTGTGTGTGACACGGGCGTTGTTTGCTCGCAAAATAAGGTGGGAGCGAGGGGCGGAGGGCCAGCCCCCAGATCAGCGGGGTTTAGCCAACGACTTGCCATGTCGCGCCTGGGCTATGTAGTGCCTTGACACTTCGTAGATTCCATGGCATTTAGACATATCACATCAACTGACATATTTCAAGTAACTCCGAATGTAAAGGCAAAAGCTGGTTCGGCTTTGAGGCAGTTTCAAGCAAAAAGAGAATCTGATAACCCGCCTCTCAGCAATTCTCAAGTTCGGATTGGCAAATTATAAGTCAGCTGGACTGTCCTTGTGTGAGGGCTTCGTAGAACATACCACAGGTTGGGGGTCCCTGGGGTGGGGGTAGTCGTGATGGAGAGAATTGATTCTTGTCAACCAGACGGTGCGGTCTCATTCTGTGCCAGGAAGTGGCGCTGTGCCTGCCATGACCCCAAGGAGCAGCAGAGGTGCCACGCCTAGAGGCGCTACGCCCAGAGGAGCCACGCCGAGAGGCGCTACGCCTAGAGGCGCTACGCCGAGCGGTCCGCAGACCCAGTGAGGGAGCAAGGGTAGGTGCCTTGATAGCTCAAGAAGTAGTTAGGGATGAGCTGAGCTAAGTTCACACCTTCACTTGTGGGAACATGAGGTTGATGCTCACAGGTTGCCATTGTTTGACGCGTTTATTTGTTGGTTCTGTTTTGCAAGGCCAGCGAAGCTCAGCAGACAGTAACGTGAAGGAAGGGAGCGCCAGGCCAGCCAGGCTTAAAGATGAGAGCCTGTTGGCGGACCAGGTCCGTTACATTTGGCTCGTTAGCGTTCAGCATGCAGCCTTCGACATCGAGGGTGGGCAAATCAACACGCCTCTTTTGTTCAAAGTTTTATGCGCAACATGCATTGCATGATGACCCAATCGACGTTGAAACATGAGTGTGTTGTTTTGGTTCAGTTCCTTGTCCAGTGCGCAGCAGCTAGTCTGTGTGTGTGCGTGTGTCCTCATGGCTGGCAGTAAGACCATGCACTTGTCGTGATCTCTAACACAAAAGCTACATTCAGGTACGAGCTCAAATGCTGGCCGGGCACTGAACGACGCCGCAGGAGACCCAGTGTCACGGGCACAGACGGCCCTCAAGCGGTCTGGTTTGTGACATCGGCTTTCATTCGGGCCATCGAAGAAGGTTGAGATGACGGGCAATCACCAAGGCCCTTTTAACTTTTAACAATGACATCCTAGGCGGGCATGTTTCATGTATTTGTTTGCGCTTACGGACGACGTCTGTAAGCACAACTAGGCTGTGGAAGCACAAAACACTTGTTTGAAGCGCCATTTGCGCTTCCTGCCGGCTTCCGTAAGCGTTTCTTTCTCCGGCGAATGTTCTATTGTTGCTTGGCAGATTGGGCCTTTCACAAAGGTCTTTGAGCCCCCCCTCTCCTGAAATGAAGCATCTCATTTGGATCCATGGAAATCAATCTCTGTACATGGATGTTGATTTGATAGACATTCTACAGTAAGTTGAACAACACTGGACACAAGTTTGGCGATCCTTGATGTGATGAGTATGGGATCCCCTGAACCTTGTCACTGCGGAAAGGCCCTTGGTCGAAGTGATCAACCTTGCCCCTGTCGCCCATGAATTCTTACACGAACAGACACTTTGTGGCATAAGTGTCGGCATTGAGTCTTGACACACCAAACCGTCAAGACAACCTGACCTGCTTTCAAAGATCGCTGATCATAGGCCTTGCATCATCATGTGTCAAGTTGATCTCCGGTCTTCGCTGCGCGCAAAGGATGTGAGGAGGCATTTGTTGGTCATTCTGTTTCTGCTTTCCCACATGTTTTGGAGATTGGGGAGAGGCACAGGGACTGTATTGTAGCTACTTGCAGCCAACGCACGGAGATCACGTAGACCAAAGGCCACGATTTGCTGCAGGCCTACGCCTCTGCGCCAGCTCCGCTGGACGCCATCTCCGAGCGAGGCGCGACTCAAACCTCCGATGTTGTTTCCTGTCCCCAAACGCCCTGCGTTTGGGTTTGAAGCCACTGAACCTTCGAAGGAAGAAATCGGATTGTTGAACATCAACCTCGGAGATCATGTCAAAGGTCGGGCAAGTTTGCCCTTGGCTCTCCGAGTGTTCTTCTTTTGCTTGCAACGATTTGCGTCGACCGGGCCTACAGTATACCTGTAAGTGGCTGATACTGTCGTCATAGGGCGAATGCATGTCGCCTTTGAATCACCCTTCACACTTGTCCAATCTACACATTTGTTTCGGACAGCCAAACCACTAGAACAAAGCAAATACAAAAAGTAGCAGGACGTGGCACGGATGCCAAAAACCTTGCGGAGGCCCAACGCCGGCCGCGTCGGAGCCGAGGCGCGCAGTGCGACCAAGCGGATTGGTTCTGTTCGGCTCAGACACATTCAAAGAACAGAGCCGCGACTTCCAAAGAGAGCTTTCCTGGAAAGGCAGCCATGCAAATCTGAGGCGCCAGCATGTGCAATGTGCTGCTGGGCTCCTTGCAAACGTGACATTCGAAGCTGCATGCAATCAGTCTTGTTTAGTGGCAGGGCAAGCTATTGATGAATGCTTTATGCACTCGTTCACCTGCACAAGGTCACCATTAAGGTCCAGACCAACCCTCGGTTAAGGTTCACTCAGCCGTGCAGGTCACCGGGCCTCGAGTGGCCGGAAGCCTTGATACATGTAGCACGGCACAGAGAAAATGATCCATGTTCGCCGCAAAACAGGGCAGCATTTCTCTCTTAAAATAACACACACACACATACACACACCCACGCACGCACGCACACGCACACGCACACGCACACGCAAACGCACACGCATACGCACACGCACACGCACACGCCCACGCCCACGCGCACGCACACGCGCACGCGCACGCACGCACACGCACACCCACCCACACACACACACACCCACGCACACACACACACACACACACCGATCTTTGTACAGTTTGAGCTTGTTTTCGGAGGGTTGTGCCATCCTGCTCAATGCTCCATGCTTGAGTTAGGTCTGTCTTGGACAAAATCGCAGCAGAGCTGCACAAGCAGGCGGGAGGGTTTGTGAGACATTGGTCATTGGGTATTTTTGAGGAGCTATAAGAAACCATCGAGGGTCATGTGCCCAGCAATTCTCCCCAAAAGGGCCATCAACCAAAACCTGAGCGCCCAAGTCATTTACTGTAAAACATGCCAGCTGTGTAGCCTCCAGGAAATCTTTGGCAACCTGCGTGCTTGGCCGTGGACGTTTCCATAGCTTGGTGTGATCAAATGTCAAGCTTGGCCGGTTTGGACAGGACAACCAGCGAGCAAAGCAGCGAGACCTTGAGCATGGAGCCTCAGGGATACGCCGGTTTGTTGGGCTGCCGTGTAAGAATGACCGCCAGCCTTGCGCGCAGACGTTGGTAGTTCAGGCAGTCTTGTTTGATTGGGCCTCTGATACAACACGTGAATCTTCTTTGCTATGTATTTAAGCCAAAGCAAATAAGGCACTGGTTCGAGCTAGACACTGACTGGCTCCGCTTCGGATACTTGATTTTGGGTAATACTCCACCCTTTGCATGTGGGGGTTCAACATAAGGTGCCTGAAAAGTAGCCTTTCGCCATCCTTAGTGTTTTTCTTTGCAGCCACTGTTCTAGTGGCCGATTCCTCTCGCATTCGCTGTGCCCAAAGGCTGAAGCAGAGACTGCGGCAAGATTTGGACAAGCAGATTGCCGATGAAAAGCTGAAGCAGGCGACTCTCTGCGCGACTCTGCGTGCATGTGTGCGTATGTGTGTGTGTGCCTGCGGGGGTGGGGGGGTTCGGCCCGGCTGTGCCTCTCCAACTCGCTTTTCCAGGACCGCGCCAAAGCGGAAGAGCAGCGGTACCTCCAACTGCAGGCACGGAGAGAGACCGGTTGACATGTTCCCAAGTCTGAATTCCCACTGGAAAGGGCCAGCCCCAAAACAGTTTGCCTTCTTCTACCGGGACCGGGCAATTGCAACTTTGAGGAGACACTTAAGCAGAAAGTCACTGGTTTTGCAGAATTGCTTCAACATGTTGTGCTGCTGGCTTGCATGAAGGAATGCACAGACTGTGGGAGATCGCATTCTATTTGCGGTCACATTGCCAGCTTCTGTTATCGAGACTGGAGACAATTGACTTTGCCCTGGTGGACTCATTTGAACCTCAGTCCCAATAACAAGTTCAATTCCCAGCTTGCATCGGCGATGCAGCAAATGTTTGTTCGATTCTGGAGGGATGTTCTCATGCTTTCTCGGAGGACATGCCGTGTCAACAGCTCGAAGGAACCAGCACAAAATAGGCTTGCACGGTTCTTTCAAGGCCGTTGAGAAGCAATGTTGCATTGATGGAGGTGGTGTTTGCATGACTTTATTCTACAGTAGTAATAAACAGTCTGGGCACGAATCTTTGACTGCCAGTTCAATATAGTGTTTTGGCCTGCGATGAGCTCATCCGCGCAGGAGGAGCACCTGAACAACTGGCAGCTTGGCAAGTCAAGGCAGCAGTCCCACCTTGGGATTCGGCATCCTGGAAGCGTGAATATGATCAAGCTCCGCATCCAATCAGCCAGGCTGGAATGTGATCAATTCTAGAAGGTGCCACCGCGTCATGCTGTGTTGGGGTGGAATCTGTGCTGCGCGCGACAGTTTTAGGATCATGGAGTCATGGCTACGCAAGTGTTGTGCATGTATGTTTGTTGTGTCATCAGGACCTGCAATGATTATTGCATCACGCAGCTTCCCTTGGCTACATTGTAGGGCTCTTTTGTCCGTTTTGGCCTCTTTGTAACAACTAAGAAGGCATGTGTCGCACACTGCGTGATGGAAGCGGCCTGTGAACCATCTCGGCAGCGCTGCAGCAAACTGTTGGGCACCGCCGGCCACCCTTTTGACCATGCAACTAGGCATATCTCGCACACGCAATCAGGTTGGAAGGGGGACTCGGCGATTCCAAGCTTGAGTGCGAGCATCAATCATGCTTCGCTTTTGTCGGGAGATGTCCCAATGTTCCCCGATCAGGGAGGGATTCAAGGCCCAGCATACTTGGAGAGGCGTTTGACTTTGCAGCAAGGACACAATAACGGCTTCAACTATCTGTTTTTGTTTTGACACCTGATGTGGGAGATGTTTTTTTTTTCCCTAGCCCTGGTCCCCCCTTAGCCCTGGTTGGCTAGGTGGCTGACTGGCTGGCTGGCTGGGTGGCTGGCTGGCTGCATCCCCGGCATCACCAACATCACTTGGACCTGGGGTTGCCTATTGGCTCTGATTGGGTGGCAGTTGGGAGTTGCTGGGGGCTGGTTTAAGTTAGGGGGGTTTTGGCTGCCTTAGATCTTCATGAGGGTGGGTCTTAGCTCCAAGCCACCCCAAACCCACTCAAAGTCAACCCTAAACCCGCCCAACAGCAGCCTGGATGTCAGCCCTTCGCTTCGCCAAGATCAACCCCAAACCACCCCAAGACCCACCCTCATGAAGATCTAAGCCAGCCAAAACCCCCCTAACTTAAACCAGCCCCCAGCAACTCCCAACTGCCACCCAATCAGAGCCAATAGGCAACCCCAGGCCAAGTGATGTTGGTGATGCCGGGGATGCGGCCAGCCAGCCAAACAACCAACCACCACCAATCACAGCCAGGGTTGGGAAAAAACCAGGGTTAGTAAAAAAAACCTCCACCACGAACCGGGCAAGCTTGCCTGAAAGTCTGACAGTCGTAACAGAGGCAGGCAGCCATTTTCCGGCGGAGCTAAAGCCAAGGCACAGCCGGATAGAGCAAAGGGCAGTAGAACGTCTTCAGAAGGCTGGGGAGTTGTCGTGTTGCCTCGGATGTGTGAAACTGCCATGCCCAGATAGGCGAATCTGTGCAGTTGCATCTGGCCTGGCATTGATTGATCCGTCGTGCAGCCTTTTTTGTCTGCCCAGATTGAAGCGACGCAGCAAGAAAGAGACTGCCAGCTGGCTATCATCCGTGCACGGAGGGAGGAGGCCAGTGATGCAAGCGTGGAATTGGGTTCCAACATGTTCCTTGGCTTTTGCGCTGCAACGCGAAAGTTGAAGTCCTAGGACCGCCAACGCATCATCAGATTTGTTTCTAATTTTCAGTCAAGGAGTCTGTTGCTTAGTCCAAGTCTCGCATTCAGATCAAATCGTTTGTTCAGCGTATCATTGTAAACATCTAACATATGTATTTGTTGGCGTGTTTTGCCAAGGGAATGGGAGCAGACAAGGCTGTTGTTTCTTTGCGCTGACTGGGAGTTAGGAAGAATGGGTGTCCTGGAGAAGTGATATAAAAGAAAGACTGACCGCACCCATTTCCCGAGCGACATGTGTTGCTGAGGCCTGGGAAAGTCGCTGAAACACATTTGCTTGCCTCGTGCTTCGTCCATTGCTGTCATTGACAGGATATTGGGCCAGGCCAGACGGCAAATATTCATTTGCAAAGCTGACAACTATCTCAGAAGCCAGTTTGAGCTGTACGCCTTTGGTATGCAGAAATTTGTGTGGTTCTGTCCAGGGACAGTCATTCAGCTGAAATAATGAAACCATGTCATATTCTGCAATACTGACCATGCAATAGATGTATGGCGTGCTTAGTACTGCAGGCTATTTTGCTCATTTGCGGAATCTGCAGTACCACCTTTGCCTTGATTGAAGTCTTTGCCAGGAAAAGCAGCAGGAGCAGCAAGAGAGGAAAGCATTGATGGACAGCCTTAGAGCGGCACTCAGCTTGCCATGCGCAGGACTCTCTGTTGAATTTTACCTTGTTGCCTGTAAGACCTTCAAGCTCTTCGCAGATTGGTGATACATGATGATATTGTGAAGTGAGTGCCGCGGGCTATAGCAGTAGTTTGCTTACCGTTTGTATTCCCTTCAGGTTGTCTGTTGTTGGTGGACCTGCCCTGTGACTGCTGGCAGGCCAATGTGAGTAGGAACGTGAGGGTTGTGCGCCTGTAAAACAGCATTAGACAAACATGTCCTCATGCGCAAGACATGAATGGTAGTCGGGGGCAGCCAGTCCTTGACTTTCTTGTGTAGAGAAAGCAAATGGCTACAAATTGGGTTGCCGGCGCAATTCAGATATGTGGTTCGGCGAAGTGGTGCCTCACAGAGACAAATATGGACATTGATGATGAATCGATGCTCAAGAAGGGTGCGGGTGTTGTGTGTTTGTGTGTGTGTCGACAATAACTGGACGGGAAATCCGGCGCCACTGTCACGGAGCATTGACTTACTCATGCTGACTGAGATCGAGACGCCCTCTTGGAGAAGCAGGAGGCCGAGGCAGGATTTTTTTCTGCGAAAAGCTGCCTGGCAGAGGACTTCTGCTGGCCTTTGTATGTTTTTGTACAGATGTTTGTTTTTCTCTGCCTCCTTTTCGTTGTGTCCTTGTCTCTCGGCTTCTTCGCCCCTTGTCCAATGTTCTCTAAACTCTTTCTGCTCTTTGCTGCTCTTCGTGTCTCTTCCTAATTCTTTCTTGTTCTTCCCTGCTCTTCCTTGCTTTTCATGCTTTTCCTGGAGGAGGTGCGTTTCTGTACTGATCCTGACGTGTTCTTAGTCTTCCTCAGTTTGTCTTGCTCTATGTGCCCTTCTTCCGTGTTTCTGTCTGATGCTTTTCTTTGTGCCTTTTCCACTTTAGCGTGTTGTTTTTTATTTGTTTGCCCCGTCTCTTTTCTCTTTCGCTCGTTCTTTGTACCGCCGTTCGCGTTTTCGATATCTTGCTCTTTCGAACTCTCAGTCTCTCTTTTCTTCCTTTCTTATTTCGCTGTTTTCTTTCTTTTCGTTGGTCCTTTTTCATTTATTCCTTTTGTTCCTTCCTGTCCCCTTTTTTCCTTACTCCCTGTTTTGCATAATATTTGTTTATTTTGTTATTTATTTTTTTGTTTCTTTGTTTCTTTATGAATTTAGTCTTTCTTTCTTGCTTGTTTTCTTTCTTTGTTTCTTTCTTTCTTTCTTTCTTTCTTTCTTTCTTTCTTTATTTATTTATTTATTTCCTTCTTTCCTTCCTTCCTTCCTTCCTTCCTTCCTTCCTTCTTTCTTTCTCTCTACCTGTTGATTTACATTTCTCTCTGCTTTGTGTCACTATGCGTGTGTGTGTGTGTGTGTATGGGTGCGTGCTTGTTTGTTTGTGTGTTTGTTTGTGTGTGTGTGTGTGTGTGTGTCTGTGTGTGTGTGTGTCTGTGTGTCTGTGTGTCTGTGTGTGTGTGTGTGTTTCAGCATGCGCTTGTTCCTCCCGTGCCCTGTACCTTTCTCTGTTTTTCCCTCTGTCTCTCTCACGGTGATATATTTGCTGAACGCACCAAGCAGCTCTGGCAGCCACGCGGTGTTGCTGCGACAGAAGCATTCGGCTTTGTTATCTAACTGGAACTGCAGTTGTGGCGGCTGCTCTTCTTGCTTTCTTTTGGGAACACTTGGACGGTAGCCCCCTGCTCCGGTTTGCCACCTTAGGGGCCATGAGCTTCACACCACGAACCGCCTGTGACCTTGTGTCAGCAGCCACCAGGTTCGGATGAAAGCCCGCCGTGACCAGGTTCAGAAGGCAGGGCAAGCACGTTCAGATCTTGCATCAACCACTTGGGCATTCATCGTGTTGCGTGCTGCGGTCTTGTACAAAGTGCGTGCCCTTCGGAGTGTGAATGGTGCATTTCATGGCAAGCAGCGTGATCGTTTCCAGCAGTACGGGTTTGCACATTCTGTAATCTGCTGCGGCTGTCCAGGGGTTCCTCTTTTTTTTTTGAGCCTCCAAAAGTGGCAGTTTCGATGGAAACTTCGGAAACTACCAGTATGGTCCAGCTTTTCAAAACGAAATCCAGTGACCCCTGCTGTCCCACTCGATGTCCACTTGTAGTTGCTGTCTATGGAAAAAAGTCGTGAGTCAGGAAGCAGGCTTCGTGAGAACGTGGGCTGGCACAGCATCACCAAGCCGAACCGTTCATCACAACTCTTGTTGCAAAGCTAACCAAAATCGCTAGAGCTGGAATCTACACTGAAAGAGAGCATGTAGGTCACTTCCACGAACCATCGCCCTAGCCAAAGGGTTTGCTCGGTAAGGCCTTCCAGGAGACCTCCGAGGCTGCGATGAAGCGGAAGGCGCAGAAGTTGCTTGGATGGGACGAGAGAACGGCAGGTGTCGGTTGCTCAGATTCCAAGCAAGCGGAAGGTGTCAACGCACTCAGTTGCCATTGATGTTGCAGGCCGGTGAGTTGAAAGCTGGCCAATTTCTGCGAATCTCCAAGCTGAGCACGCACTGCGTAGTCATGGCTTTGCCTCTTCTTGTATAAGCCTTCCAGTGGCATGGAGCAGCATCCTTGCATTCTGAGCCTCTAGTCGGCCTGTGCATATGAGTGCCTGCGGTCTGCAATCTCAGGGCTAGTAAATCTTGTTACAGTCAGAAAGTCGCACTGGCACGATGCTCAACACTGAATAGTGAGACTTGTTTGGAGTCAGTGCAGTGTGAGGAAGACTTGCGGGTGCTCAGTTCATGTTCAAAACGGTTCCATGTGCCATGTCTTTTGTATTGTTTTGTGTAGTCTGTATGCACATTGCAGGAGTTTGACATTTATTGTTGCTTGGTATCTTGTCCCATCCTCTCAAGAGTCACAAGAGCAAAGTCCACGTCACGCAACAGCCAAACTGCACCACAAGGAACTTCAGCGCAGATCTTTCAACAGCTACTCTTATATCAGTTGTGTGAGTTGCGTGAGAGGGATTTCAATCTGGCTGGGGATCAAGTCAACAGCACAACTCGTATGAGCGCTTGGGCTTTCTCATGCAATCAGAAGTCATGCCATCTCATCGGTGCCCATTGGCAAACTGCAGCCAAGGATGCCCAGCATAACTGGTCAGTTGATGTTTGGCCAGCGGTGTGCCAGTGCCATTGTGGCTAGAAAAGGATATTCCCATGGCAGACCCGCTTTCAAGGCATGCGCGATTTGTTGACTGCGATGTGTCCCAGCTGTGGTACATCAATCTTGCCGTTTCCTCAAGTAGGGTTCCCCAACGGCACACCGCATGCGGCCCCCTTTCGAGACAACTTCCCGAGTATTTCTGCGCAGTGTGCTGGTGCGTGGTGCAGTGCGCATGGTTTGCCCCTGACTGTTACACAGCAGGCCTTCAAGCTAAACTGCACGAGAAAGGTCAAGAACCCAGAGCCGTTTTATCCACACAGCTCCCTTTTGCCGCCGGTATTCCAGGAGCTGGCAGATCGCCAAGCCTTTCAAGAGCAGCAGCGGGTAGAGGCACGCGAGGGTGCGAGGCTGAACAGTGGGGCGTGTGGATGCCCATCTTAGGCCATGAGAAGATATCTTGTGATTCGTGGATCCCAAGCCTCTTGTTTGCTTTCAGAAAAGTCTTTAAGCTCCCACACATGGAATTGCCATGCCAATCTGCCAAGAGGGTAACAATCTTGCATAATCTTGCTGAGCTATTTCTAGAAGGCTTTGTAGAGACAACATACTCAGAAGTATCAAATTGAAGTGAGAGATGCGGGCACCCATGCCTCGTGGTCAAGTCTGACATCGTGCATGCTCGCAAGAGTTGGAATCTTGCTGTTGCATGGCACTCCCTACACTGTGCTTGGCTGCCAGGTTTGATAGCAATTGTTCCTGGCACCTGCAACACAGTTTTCGGCTGAGCTGACCTTCTGGTCCCTCGATCGCATTTGGACTGTCTCGCCCCATCGCAGAGACGCGGAGGAAATGATTGCACTTGTTGTTTCCTTTCTTGTATGATTGAAGCTGGTTGTTGTAGGGGGTACATGGGAAACCACCCCGGAACACCTCCAACCACCAATCCCAGCATTCAGTCAGTGGCAGGCCTACGAGCAACTGCGGGCCGAGCGTGAAGAGCACCGGCGGGAAGCAGCCGAGAAGGACCTTGCTGAGTTGAGTTTAAGGCCTTTTCGTTCCGGGATGGGGGTTGGTCATTCGATTCTACTGTTTCATGACTGTACAAGTGGTTCCGGTTGAGACCCGCACAACTTGAGTGGTAGATTTCCTTCATGCTTTTGGTGTGCAATGCCCAGCTGAAGGGAATGAACTATTCAAAGCACCACAATCTAAATTGAACCAGGCCCTTTTCGCGTGTGTACAGACAATGACGCACGGATTTGCAGGAGGCTGCCCAGCGAAAGGCGATTGAGAAGAATGCTGGAGTGCGGGCCCACTCCTCAGATTGTATAGGCGTTGCGAGGCGTATGATTGAGCTCGAGATGAGCCTAAGGTGCGCTTGTGCACTGACTGTTCTTTCCCGAGATGTAGGAAACTTGTGCATGGCTGGAGTTGAAGTGTCGCCGTTGGCTACATTTCTGCCTCCTTGTGCATCCACCAAGACACGCACCATTGGCAGACTTAGCACTCGAACTATGTCTGCCGCACTCCGGCAAGTGTGATCTTCCAAGCGGCCTCGAAGCAGGACGTGAGGCTTTAGACGCGCATTGAGACTCCCTTAGGACAACCCCAGATCATCCCAGATCTAAGGACACCCTTGAGTGCATGAACTGTTTGCAAACCTTTGCCTTCAGCGTATAGTGCCGCCAATATGCGTGGAAACAGTGCCGAGACTCCGCACGCAAGAAGCGCGCAAGCCCGGCCCAGTGTAACTGCAGAAAGAAAACGGGAGAATCGAGATGTGCCATTCCCTTGCATTGCACAAGTATGTCACGTCCCCAGCGTTGACCATTGGGCTACCTGCAGGAAAGACGTCTTAATTTCGGCATCGGCCAAAAGAGCTGGAATATGTACGTGCTCTGAATCCAGTACGTAAGAGAGATTTCTGCGGGCACGAGTTAAATATACAAGCTGAAGATACAGTCCCTGAATACTAAACTTGTATTTATTTTGCTCATTCCTGTCAATCAATGTACAATGCCTCGTGTTTGTGCTCGCACCCTCAAGCCTGTTTCCTTGTACAAACTAATGACCCGTTCAAACGCTTTGCCTAACGCATTCCCGCTTTCCATGCGCGTGCGCAAAGGAGTAGAGCATCACAGAAGTGCGGCACAATGGCCTAAACACTGGAAAAATGTTTTTTGACAACAACCGTTCCAGCTATTGGAGTTGGTGAGATGGTGTTGGTAATATGTTTAATGTCAACCAAGTGCAGCGTTGTCACAAGTTGTCACAACGCAGGTGCTTGACCAGAATGAATGTTAATGTGAATGCAAGACATACAGAAACCAACCTTGAGCGCACCGGAAAACACAAGTAATATTTGTTTTTTTGACAAAAAACAACCTACACAAACAACACCCTCCGCACCTGCAACAACACCTTGCCAAAACTCTGAATCACGTTCTCCTCCAACAGAAGCCTATTCTGTTGCGCGATGCTGCGCGCGGCACCAATCAACACTTTCTAGCAGCACTCTACGAAGACTAGCCCAATTTTGTGTCACCCTATCCTTTGTTGAAACCCTTATAGCTGTCATCAATCTTGGGAACAAAAAGCCGTTGATTTTGTGGATGAATCTCTGTTTGACGCATATCTTTGGTTTCTATGGGTGTGCTTGAGTCTAAGATGGTTTCCACCACCCCCAAACCACTACTCACTACCCCCAAGGTTTTAATGGGATGTACAACCACTGTATAGGCACTGTATCGGGGGAAGTGATTTGGGGGTGGAGCCCATCTTTGAGCCACGGTCTGCGCCGGCCTGAGGCAGTGGCAATGCAGCGCCAGGCCGATGACGTGGAGTCCAAAGCAGCGCAAGAGCGCGCGGCCAAGGCCGCGGGCTGCGGGGGGAGAGGGCGGGAGGCATTTGCGGGTTCACTGTATATTCGCCTTTTCGGGGGTTTTAAGGTTTTAAGCATCATCCTGAAACAAAACGTGTTTCCTTTTGGTGGATTGATGTGCAAGCCGCGGAAATATAGGCAGGCAGCTGCGTGGGCAGTTGGCAAGGCAGGACTGCAGTTGATGCCCCAAAGGTGAGCAAAGGGCCAATCTGAGCGAGTTGGCATGTTAGCTTTGAAATAGGATGTATTTCCTGTTCTGCTTTGCTTTCATTTGAGGGGCAATCACCCTTTGCCCTCTCCGCATGATGCTATACCGACAAGATCACAGCTCGACCTGACGGCAAGTATGTTTTTCAAACTTTATCGCTCACAAACGAAGGCACAATCACCCGAACACAGACACACAAACAACAACGCAGCGGCAAACACACATATTGCTCACCATGAATTACCCCTGCCATTGTACCACGTCTCCTGTAGCCACGATTGTGGGAACCTTTCATGCGTTGCTTGTTATGCAATCTTAGACTGGGCGCCCTTGACACCAACGCATACCATGATCCCTTGACGCCTACACATAGCATGATTGATTCTAAATTATTGTAAAAGGGTTCTCACCAAGCAGAAGCAATCGCCGAGCGGCAACAGAGAAGCAGCAAGGGACCGGCAGCAACGGACAACCCAAAAGACCTAACCCAAAGCCACCAATGGTGCTGCTCAGGAGCGAGCAATGGAGCAGCAGGAGCAGGTGACAGGGCTCGGGGCAGCCCATCACAAGACGAAGCGATCTTCTCATTCCGCAGATTAGCCATGATCTGAAACTTGCGCTGGAGACCCCTCTTGGCTGTGCCTGAATTAGCAGGACACAGCTTGCGGTGATAGTCCGAGGACATCCCGGGTAAAGCGCGTTTCAAACCACTTTCATGCGCTTCACAAGTGAGTGAGTGTGTGTGTGTGTGTGTGGGTGTTTGCTACTAGTGCTGATGATTATAATTATGTGGTTGATATACCACTGTGATAGTGCCTCAAGTTGCTTGTTGTTTTTCTCTGATGGCGCAACCAACGGAACTAACACTGGGCCCAGCTTGTCAGTCAGCGACTCACCTGACACCAGAACTTGGATTTCCAAGGCTTGCTGAGTGGAAGGGCTGAAGAAACAGGGAGAGGGAAACATATAGTATCAACAAAAGACAAGACGCACAGTGTACTACAAGTGCGCTACCACATTGCATGCCAGTTTGCTCTGCCGGTCCAGCCGACGACCAACTGAGGTCAGGGAAGGTGTTGTGTGTGTGTAGCATTTTGAATCTCCATACCTCAATTATGCGTGCGAAAACATCGGACCTTGCTTGCTTGCCTTGTCCTTTCCCGCATCACCTTGAAAGAACTCCAAGGCATTGCGACCATTTCAAGTTTCCGCAGGCAAATCGAAAGAAGCTGGAGGCGATGAAGTGCCAGACGCAGGACTGCCATGACGATGCAGCTAGCGTTTACGGATTTACTGCACGTGAGTATCCTGTTAAATTATGTCAAAGTCAATATTGTGAGGCTAAATTTATCACAAGGTAAGTATGCAACAGGATTAGGCACATAGTCACATAGTTGGAATGCAGGCGGCACTCTCAACGCATGTTGTCCTCGCTGCCAGCCCCGCAGCCCAACTTCCTTCATGTCGGGGACGGACTAGTTGAAGTCGAAGTTGGAGTCACGGAACACGTGAGTCAAGCATGGCAAACCCTTACGCCATTCCCAAAGATGCGGTAGTTGCGGATTTTGGTTGAAACACATGGCATGCAATTGCGTTTGACAAACAGAGGAGAGACACTTTGTTTTGACAAGTCACCAAAGCACTGTGTTGATTGAAACGCCCGAGGGTCAAGACGGCACGGCTCGCAAGCTAGTCGCGGTCCTTTCCATGATACTTCTTGGTTTTCAAGAGATGAGCCTTGTCTTTGGCGCAGGAGTACCTTCTGCAGCAAATGAAGGCCATCAAGGGCGGTCCGTGGCTGCAATTTAATGGACTGTGAATGCCGTGTGAAACAAGGAGCTGTTAGGATAGGCCCTGCTTTCGGATCAAGTAAATACTGGCACATCGCATTGATAGCTCTTGAGAGGTCTAGTGCCTGCATCTTTTGGCGATGGTGCGATAGTTATCATCATCTTGCCATTCTCCTTGGGCGAGCAATGGCCTTGCTTGTCCCGATTGAGACGTGACGTGATAGGCAGCTTGCGAATGGAGCTTAAAAAGTGTTATATATTGGGAAGCTTTCTGAGATTCCTGACCTGTTTGATGGCATGGCGCGTGACTCATGGACCCCATCCTGCGATGTTCAGCTCCGGCAAGTTTGGAGGCAAAGTGCTGCGCACGTTCTTGCAAGCTTGGCCTGCTCGATGAGTGTTAGCTTGAACAGGAGAAGCAGCTTAGAAAAGCAGCTGAAGCTGAGAAAGCCAGGCGCGGACCACAACACAATGCCATTTGCCGCCCTGGAGTGCAAGCTCCCAAAGACATGCGCTCAAAGAGTAAACTTGAACCAAGTCTTCTGTCACTTTGAAACATTTCGAGCAGGATTGACAGTTGATGGGGTTGCGCTTAAAGTGATTTTCCGCATGAAGTGTATGCTTCGGTAAATGTTCAGACAAACAATTATTTGGCAAGACAGCAGATAGCAGCATTGGATGGCCAATTAGTTGCAGGCAGGGCTAGTCCAAAACAACGTAACCCCTAAATCATGTACATGAGCCCTACTAACTAGCCCATCGCGGTTTCACACTTTTCATTTGCCCCTTGGCAGCGTGTTATGTCAGGTGTCTGGCACAGGAGAAGGCGGCTGAAGTGAAGAATATCGAGGCGTGCCGCAGTTTTTCGAGGACTTCGGTGGATTGTTAAATATGCGTGTCAAATCTGCCTCCAAGAGTGGGGAACTCTTTTTGGTTTCTTTCTAGGTCTACCCAACATAGCACGGCCCGTGATCTTGACACGCACCCGTGTGATGCGGCTGGCTTGGCATTGCCTGGATTTTGTGGTGATTGTGGCTTTAGCAAGGGAACACGTCGAAACATTGGTGTGCTCTTGGGGTTTGCCTGGGTCGGAAAGAACAACGTGCTTGTGACGCACCGACCACTTGAAGCTATAGGTGCAGCCTGCAATTCAACATGCACGTCAAGAGTGTTCATTTGATGAACACCACCAACACTGCACCCAGTCGCCCCTTAGGTGGGATCTCTTGTTTAAAGAACCTATTTGTTTTTGTAGCGCGTGACTCGGCAGGCCAAGGAGCGGGAGCGCGATGATTTCAAGAAGCCCGGGCGGCCCAGATGCTGCGCAGGGCAGAATGGTCCCTGGAAAACAGCTGTTTCACAGGACTCATAAGCAGGGCCGGTGGCGGAGATGCATTTGGACACCTTGGCTGGATATAATTTGTATACCCGTTTCTCCAAATATGTTTCAGAACAAATATTTACAAAGAAATATACCTGGGTCTTTCATTTGGTCACTTTTTGGGGCTCTGGGCATGTTTTTGCTCGTTTCAGATCTTGAGCGGAAAAACACAAAATGAGCGGAAACCTTGATTTGGGCTAATTTTGGCAATTTCTGTGAGCGGAAATCTGCGGGACATGAGCGGAAATCGGAGGGAAATGAGCGGATTTTTGCGGACACACACACACACACCCGAACCGCTTTCCAATTGAGCGTGAGCATTTTTGAGTGAAATGAGCGGTATCTTTTGCTCGAAACGGAAAACAATCCAGAAAAAAGTGCCCACGGAAGACCTAGGTATACACACAATACATGCCTGGGACCCCATATGGCCGTTTTTTTTAGGTCATAAATGGCCATGTGGATGCGTACAGCTTTTTTTTTTGTCAACAACCTGTCGAAACAAATATGGGTTTGATACGGGTGATTTACGCAAATGACCGGAAAAGCATGGCCATGCGGGCAAATACGTCCAAAAACAGCCATGTGGGGTGCCAGTATATACTCATTATCCTCATGATTGCGGATGTCGTTAGGCTGTGGCGGCAGACGCGGGACATGTTGCACGCATCATCCTTCCTGCATGGTTGTCTAGCAGCTCCATTCATTGATGGCGGAAGCCACCGCGGGCTGATAGCCTCCACGCGAATGGGCAAAATATGCTGAGTTTGCCTTGCTTCGGCATGTTGCTCCGCCCAAGCAAATTGAAGGAACCAACTCTGGTCGTGCATTTCCTTGCAAGGCAACACATTCCTAGCCCCATGTTCAGCAGCAAATGTTTCTGTGCAAATCCTCCCTTGCGTTCTTGCAATAAGCTCCACTCTCAGGAGTGGGCTCCAAAACGTATCCAGGCACAATGATTGGACATGTCATGTCCAATCATTTACCTTCCATTTCGATTATTTTTACCCCCCCCCCCCAATGGTGGTTTTGCTTTGGTTTCGATACAAAAAAGCCAGCAACAACAGCACCCCGCGCAAAAAGATGAGCCCATGTGAGGAACATGTCAACTTCTGAAGAGAACACTCCTAGGAGAATGATCCGCGAGCATCGCTCCGAGCTTGAGCGCCAGATCGCTGCCGGGGGCTGAAGCCAAGCGGAAAAAACCGCCCGTGACGGTCGAAAACCACAAGCCGTTTTCGGAACAAGGCGGATGCTGTTGACCGAGGCAATGTTGCCCAGGATGAGAGGTACATGTTTTGCTTGAATGAGTTTGGACTGGTTTGGGGCGTTTTAATCGAACATTAGTACTCTTTCTCTGATAAGGAAAGACAACTCTGCTAGCGGGAGTCACCCAAGCTTCTTTTGGGGCTGAGCTTCCCTCAACTGCCTGAATTTATTTGCTTGCTGTGAGAGTCAAGCCGCTTTTGGTGCGCTTGGATTGTCCCCAACTAGTACAATGTTGATCAGTCCTATGTGTGTCGAACATCCCATGGATGAGTCACAATAAAGGATATTTAGTTAAAACGCTTCGCGTTGCCCGCCTCGGCCAGTATTGTTTTGGCTGGCTTTGAGGTACAGTGTTTTGGTTTGCCTTGAGGTGTGGTGTTTGTTTGAGGGAGTGAGTCGGCTCCGGTTATATAATCTGTCAACGACTCTTGGGATGGCTTTGTGACGATGCGCGTTGCACTTAGCAGGAGGCATCCCCGATAATTTTCAGTGGGGATCTTTGCTCAGGCCGTTGGCGATATTCGCAACTGGCCGCTCACATCTTGATTATCAAACGCTTGAGTAGGTACATGTGGGAGCACAAACGCTGTTCCTCACTTGTTGCCTGCAGTTTGGCAGTTTTCTTGACCACTGGCATTGGGGTGCATTCTAGCGACCTCGACTCATGGCACAAGCATGCCCCTAGGCCCGGGCGAGGCTAAAGCCGAACAAGGCCTGTCGCCGGGTTGCACGTGCGGCGTTCCACTGGCTGAAATATGTTTCATGGCCTTCAGCGCCTAGGAAGGAAGGGCCGTGCTTTCGCCGATGGGATGTGTCAAAATGGGGGGCACCCGTAAATGCTGATCCTCTTGGTTTCCCTCAAAAAACCATCCCAAGCATAAAACCATGCAAAGAAACACGGGCAAACGGATCGCGGGATCCCAATCCAGGAGGCCATGAGCGACTGCGAGCTGCGCCTCAACAAGCAGCTGCTCGAGAAGGCTGGATCCGAGAGCAAGGACCCCCTAGCCATGCTGCACCGTTGGTGGAGTCTTGTGATTTAAGTTTGCCCAATGGTGGTTGCGCCTTGGCGATCCCGCAGTCACTTTTCCCATTGGTTTTCGTGGCGTGGTGCGGCCGGAGCAATCTTAAGGGGTGTAATAGGATGTACTGTGAGCTCGTTGAGGGGATCCACACATTGAGACTCGCACTGAAGCAAGAAGCAACACTTTATGGCTTGGCTTCTGCTTTATGCTTTGGTGATGCATGAAGGAAACTGCCTCATGGCCCATGAACTTCGGGGAGTTGGACATGCAATTCAGTTTACGCCATTTGTCATTCAGCCTCCACGATGTTGTTAGGCCCAGTGGCCTTGCAAGCAGAGCTTTCTATTGGGATGAACTGAAGATGCTTCTCATAGCTGGCAGTTTGGTGGTCAGGCGTGTTCAGGTCTTGAACGCCTTTCCATTGCACCCGGGCATTCTGGAAGACATATCCTGGTTGCGCCGGTTGTTGTTTTTTTGCATTGCTCCGCAAAGCACGCCCAAGTAGGTGGTGTAGGGGTGTCCAAACACTTTGCTAAGGGCATTTCCTTTGGCAAAGTTTTAGGACCAGCTCTGTAATACGAGGATGTTGCCAGCTTGAGGTTCGCTCACGCTTGTCCATCGTTTAACTTTGGCAAAACCAGGAACCATCACCGTGGGAAGACAAGAGGATAATGGACAACCCGGGATATTCGAAGATATTTGTGCAGGTGGCAGTACTGCCACATAACATTGAAGTGACATGCTACGTACTCGTACCTGAGTCTACAGATATGTTTATTTGGCTTTGCGATGTCTTGTCTCTGTGCTTTTAGGAGATTGTCAGAAGGAACCAAGGATGGAATAGCACGAGCAGCTTGAACTGGGATACATATTATATGTTTCACTTCAATTACCACTGGGTATATTGCGCAGAGTCAAACCGAGCTGCAAATCTCAACTTGCTCCATTTGCTGCACGGCTGGTTCTTGCCCTGGCATCAGGTGCAACTCGTTGGGGCCTCAGATTTGGGCACCGCGACAGATTGCGCTCGAATCCGAACAAAGCCCCTGAAACACCTCGATCATGTGGAAGAATTATTCTGTCAGCTGTCCAAGTTTTGTGATGGCGGACCTCTTTCTGCGACACGGACGGGGGCTTGCCTGGTGCAAGAAGGCAGTTTGCGGAAACCAAGGCCCTCACAGATATTTCTTCCACGGCGGGGAAGACCCGCTAAGACGCCCGTTTCACCAGGCCACTGGACACAGACTGCTTCTGAAGAACAGAGCCAGGCAATACGCCCATTGCTAGGTGCACCATAAGGTGAGCGGAACAAAGGCCCAACAGAGAAGGACAGAACAGTTCATGGCTAATCGGGTTTTGCACTGGACGTACAACTGCCTGGTGGGTCAGCGACTGTCAGTGAGTCTGAATGTTTGGCTAGTTCACAAGGCTGTTGGCTTCACTGCTGCAGGGAGACCCGAAAAGAAAAGCGTTTGAAGATCCTTGAGCAAAGCGTGAGGATTACTAGCAACCGTTTTAGAGCAGTGAGCCGACGGCTAGTTGTCAACTGTCAAGAGGGTAGAAGCTGCCGCCTCAAGACGAGGTGCGCATGCTATTTACTCAGTCGAGTCGTCGTAGATCACTCCACAACATGCACAGCAGATTTGCTGCCCAGGAAAGCGAAATTGTGCAAGTCGCCTTTGGCCATGCTTTGAAGCCTGCCTGAAAACAACTTTCAGGCCGCTGCTTGGTTGCGGTACTTTGACTGCAGGCAAGGTCCTTTACACACAGGTCTCATATCTCATTCCGTAGGGCAAGATTCCGGTCCTCAAGATCCCAAGACACGTCAGACAGGTCAGACATGGTTTATCCTTCGGTTGCCGGCCTTTTGTGAAAAGTGTGGCGATCCTGCTCCAGCTGTAGTGCTGTATGCAGCGCACCCGATACCGAACAGATGCATCTTGGCAGCATTGCCCGCATGCTCCCATTGCGGCTGTTGTAATATTTGTTTGCTTTGTTTACACTGACGTTCGTTCTCCAGACTTTAAAGTAAATGAGGTCTGAGCTGCTTAAGGCTTTCCAAATGGCAGTCACGCGATTCTTGCTCACAGGAAAGCTGTCCCGTAGAGTGTCAAGCGTCTAGACATTTGTGTCTCTTTCCACTTAAGCGGTGTCTTGTCTGTGAACTGAACAGATGCCCGCTAAGATGACAATGTCACGTTAGCTGCCAGGTACAGATACCCCCGCGTCCTGCTCCTGGCAGGGTCTCCCTCGCCCTGCTTATGAGCTGCGTTGGTTGCCGGGCAAAGGTCGAAGTCTGCAGACATGACAAGCCTGACCCACACAGCAACGATCCTTGCAGAGTGTGTCTTTCTTTCTTGAATCACTTGCGGTTGTGCTCGCTTTGTTCAGATTTGAAAGGTCGCTAGCACCTCTAGCACATCTCGGCAGTCTTTGACGGTAACACCGAACATTGAAAAGACGGGGCGATCTTTTACTATGTTCATCCGATGTGTTTCACCTTTGGCCAAATACACTTTCCGGGGTCCGGAAGGTTCGCTTTGACAGGCTGTGCCCTGTCAGCTTTGCGGCGCTGCGTCGGCAGAGACGGAGCCAGGAGTGCTCGAGTAGCAAGACATGGGACAGTTCCACAATGGGAACAGAGTACAGTGCGGCGGTATGTTTCTGCGTCTTTGTTTTCTTGTTGGAAGGTGTTGAGGGGCATTGGTTTGACGACATTGGACGTCCTTTCAGAACAAAAGTCCTTCTTTTGTTGGCGATAGATCCTAACGTCTCAAATAGTGTCTATCTTAAGCTGTCCGACTTGTGACTTATGCTTGTGAACGAATATCAAATCTAGCCGTCGGGACTAACCTGAGAATCATGTGTGTGTTCGGGACGTTCTGGCACCACACAGAGCATGCAATAGATGTGCAGATACATTTGGGACCGTTTGCAAGTTCGAGCAGGTGTACTTCATTGATAGTTGCACTGCCCGAGGCTGCTCGCAATGGACAGCATCAAAAGCAAGTCGAGGCATTTACTGAGAGTTCACTAGAGTCTGACATGGAGCGACGCGCCCTCATGCTACATGGACCATGTTGAATCGTGTTGGCCGGCTGTGGCATCGTGATTGCCCCATGTATGAATCAATTGATGTCAAGGCTAGTTACTGGAGATAGACGAGTCACCTCCATCCTTTCAAACCGGGCCACGAGTATCAAGCCATGCCACAAAGATGGAGTCAGAATTCGCTTGATCCAAAATTGGGAGCCTCCAACCGCCTTGTGATCTTCAGCTCACCGCAGCATGTTCCCCCTACTCCAAATACCATTTTTTTTAGGGTATGATGTCGACCCTCTACTAAAAAAGGAGGTATTTACAATGGAAACCCAGGCTTCTCCCCAAAATACCCTAGAAATAGTCCGGGTATTTGGAGTAGGGGGTGTTGTTTGGCCCGCAACCCACAAGGAAGCCTCCTCGAGCTCCTCTAGCTCCGTCCAGACGAGCTCCAGCCGGGGGCTTCCGGTCAGAGCCACTTCCAGTCGATAGAAACGGACAGTCCCTTGATTCTTGCAGGGTTCTTGTTGTAACCCAGTGCATTTGCACTTTTCCGCTCCACAAATGTCCCCTGTTTTCCGCTCCTTACGCGCGGTCTCTTGATTCTTGACATGGACTCGGGGGTGGACCCTTTTAATACCCACGGGTTGATTCTGACTCTGACTTGGTGGCAGGCACGATACAGGGTTGAAGCGCTGAAAGCACTATGTGCAGGCCCGCACAATGCATGCTGTGCTAGGTATACAGAGTGAGATCCTGTTGTATGACGTGCTCGCTTCAAGTCTCGAACTATAGTCAATTTTGTGGCGGGCAGGGGACATTTTGAAAAGCAACCAATTTGAATAAGCAGAGGGAATATAGCCTTCAAGCATTCCCTCTTGCGTTTTGGTTGATCTCTCGCTTGCAAACATGGCACAACTTTGCATGCTCGGAACGTGAATTCCCAGGTGTATCCTTGGCAGGCGCGGGTGCTTTCGACTAGCTTCGGTTCAAATCCAAAGTGCAACTAGGACAACATGCTTGCTTCTGGACAAAGGCACGTTTGTGTTGAAGGTTGAGACCAGACCCATCTTGAGTCCTACAGTTAAACGGATTTCCCAGTTTAGGGTCTCAGCATTGGCTTGTGCGGCTGTGACAGCTGGCAGGAAGGAGGCATGCTCCTCTTGTTTCTTCCATTGTCGATTAGTTTCAGAGGTGCTTTGAGTTGCAAAGGTGCTTGGCGGCAGCAACTGCTCATTTTCACCGGATATAGAAAGATGTTGGTAGCTTTTTGTTTCTTCTTACAGGTTGGCCTCGACAGTATTGAGCCACCTGAGTGCCCAACCCGCCGTAGGGGAGCCACAGCATCATGGCACGAGTCGAACGACCAGTCCACCGTGTCAGAAGGCACAGTAGCAGAAGGCATCTTAGACAACGGTCAATGAAGCAGCACAGTGAAGTCTATCGGCCCGGCTTTGGCATCATGCTGAAACTGGCATTGCCGCATTGAAATCGCGTGAGCCTAGGGTAGAGTGATTTCACTTCCAACGCATGATGGCACATGTCAGGCTTTTACAAGGAACCTAGTTCAGAGCGAATTTCTCCACGATGTCCTCATGGGGGATGCCCATGGTTCAATTGCTTGATACTAAGTGGTCCCACGAGCCCCACTGAGTTGCCTATGGCGAATATCAAGAAAAAGTCCGCTAGTTATTTCATTCGCATACCTTTTATGTGTCTTTCGAGGGCTTTTTTTGGTTTGGTTTAAGGGGACACCAAAAGGAAACCCACCATTTTGGGGGTCCCCCAATTTTTCACCCACTTGAAGCCTTAGTTGTCGGCCGGGCCTGTTCCTACAAGGCGAGGCTAGACCTTCGTTGCCGGAGCCTTGGGCGCTGCGGTCGGTCCTGAAGCATCACAAATGCTTGTCCATTGGACCTGGATGTAAGGCTTCCTTCTCGTTGTGAAAGTGATCCTTCGTGATCTTAAGCTGTTGAAATTGGCCTCCCTTGTCCCCTGCTTTCTTGAGAAATTGTGTAGCGATGCGTACACTTTAGACTTTTCTTCGTGATGAGAGGTCTTGCAGGGGCCCTTGAGCCTTGAGCCACGATTCGGCCGAGCCATTGACCCAGGCAGCCGAACTTCTTCAACGCCTTCAGCGAAGGAGAGTCCACATACGATGAGGCAACGGAGGGGGTACGGTGCAATGCAGCCAAGGAGTCTAGGGAATGAACGCAGGTATTCAGTTTCAGGCATGTTCTCTCTGATCCGCGAAGGGCCTGCATTTTGCCGGTGGTTGCCCTTGCAACTAGGTTTGACGATTGAAACTTGTAGTCATCGCATATTGTACTGTTATGGGGGTTGGCCAACGTATATACGTGCCCTGAACTTCAATGTGAACTTTCAAAAGCGATTTATGAGACTGAACCAGATGAGCTTGTTTTGTTTTGTGTTTTTTTTGCGTACGACCATCGCGAGAGTTGGCATCATTTTCTCGAACCTGCAGTACCAGTACTTTCCGTTTTAGGATGATTTCCAACGTTGTGGGGGACTTGAAGATGTGCAGATGTGCTTTGATTCCAGTCAGTTGGTGCTCGCAAAGAGTTGCATTGCCCCAGTTTCGCATCGCAATTCATCGAGTCGCTTCCGGTCGTTTTCCAAATAGGCCCAAGTTCTTTGCCGTTTGTCGGATGGGTTCACTTCGCAGCAGACAGTTGCGAATCCACAGCTTCTGCAGCACTGCAGACATGCCCGCTTCTGAATAGCCAGCTCTTGTTGAAGCCTGAAGCTGGCATGATTGGTTCGATCACAGGAAGGCGAAAAGCTGGCCAAGGTCGTAGTCAACGAGTTCTCCGGTCTATCTCACAGCTTGTGCAGGACGTTTCTTCATATTGTCGCAAGGCTGTTCAACTGAGAGTGGTTCTGCCGAAGGTACAGGGCTGCCAGACCTGCTCTGCCAGATTCACGCCCAGTTTTCCTAGCGCAAACATGGAAAATGTATTCCTCAAATCCAAGTGTTGGCGCTTTCAGATCACGAACAACCGTCTCAACCATCGTTCTTTTCAAAAACCAGCCATTTCCCCAGGGTTTTTGGCGGTTGTCTAGAAAGAAGGATTCCTGGAAAGAATGGACTCCCCTTGATGCGTGGGGACCAGAAGGCCTCGCCAGGCCTTCTTCCACCGGCCCCACAACGTGCTGGGCTCCGTGAGCTACGAGGACCACGCGATCAGCCAGGCCTCTCAGTGCCATGGGAGAAGCCTTCTGCTTGACTCCGAGACTCCCGTGGCCTCAAAGAGGCCGTGTTTGACTCTTGACGACCCAATGAGTCGTGCTGGTTAGGCTGCAGAGCCAGGAACACGAAGCCTCGGACCAGAAAGAAATTGTACACAGGTGACAGGTGACGCAGGTTATTCAGGCAATAGTGGCATACAGGCAAGAAGTGTCCGAAATGTTCAGAGCGCTCCCCTGTTGATTTGGCCCGGATGCTTAATCTTATCAAGCCCAACCCTTGCTTGCTGGGCAGCATATGCTTACGACTGGCCGGTACGAGCTCCTATGTTTATAATCTGTTTACTACATTCAGGTTTTGCTCGGAATTGGTTAGAATACACATATTGCCTGCAATTATTCTCGGCGCGTGCGCTTGTCCTGAAGCAAATCTCGTTTGCTGCTCCACTCCTTTTGCCAAAAGTCTTCATAGCGGCTTTGCTCAACGTATCCACGTATCCCATGAGGCGCAAGGCAGCATTCAAATAGGAAGACACTTAAGCCCAAGTGCAGAGCGCGAAAGCCACGAAGCTGAGTGCGCACAGAGAGTACGCCATGAGCAGTTGTTCTGCTGTACTAAGATGCCGTGGATGCGAACGTCTTTGAAGAGACCCCGTCTGCAGGCTGGAGGATTGAATCGGATAAGCTTCCCAAAGCGTGGCCACCAGTGTTCAGGATCCCTTGTCTTCCGCTGGAAAGGGCAGAGGTTGGTTTGTTGTCTTCTAAACTGCCGTGTGATTTGGACTCGATGCGGTTTGCTACTGCCATTTGACGGGAGGCGCTGCCGAAGCGTTGCAGACGTATTGGCCTGGTGATGCCCAGGTGTCAGAGCCTGAGTCGCTAGCCTTTACTACAGATTCAGTGGTTCCGCCGGGGAGCGCTGTTGAATCAAGTTGGTCACTGTGCTTACCATTCCTTTGCAGTAGTGTGTATATATGCGGGTGTTTTTCTCCACATTTGTCTGTGGGGGTCTTGATTGCTCTTCCTCCTCCTCCTCCTCCTCCTCCTCCTCCTCCTCCTCCTTCTCTTCCTCCTCCCCCTCCCCCTTCCTCCTCCTCCTCCTCCTCCTCCTCCTCCTCCTCCTCCTCCTCCTCCTCCTCCTCCTCCTCCTCCTCCACACTCAGTCACTCATACTCCCTCACGCTCAATGACACTCACTCACAGTCACGTACACTTTCTCAGACAATCACTTTCACTCCACACCACTCCGCACTCCACTCCCCACTCCACTCCCCACTCCACTCTTCACTCCACTCCGCACTCCACTCCCCTTCCACTCCCCGCTCCACTTCCCACTCCGCTCCCCACTCCACCACTCTTCACTTCACTCCACTCTCCAGTCTCCACTCTCCACTTCACTCCACTCTCCCCTCCACTCCACTCCACTCTCCCCTCCACTCCACTCTACTCTCCCCTCCACTCCACTCCACTCCACTCTCCCCTCCACTCCGCTCCACTCCTTTTTTCCATGTTTTTCCGTGTCCTTTCCATTTCCTTTCCATTCCCTTTCCACTCCCTTTCCATTTCCTTTTTATTTGATTGAATCTCCCTTCCATTTTTTGTTCATCTCCTTTCCATCTCCTTTCCATGTCCTTTCCATTTCCTTTCCGTTTCCTTGCCATTTCCTTCCCATTTCCTTTCCATTCCCTTTCCACTCCCTTCCCATTCCCTTTCATTTCCCTTCCACTCCACTCCACTCCACTCCACTCCACTCTTCACTACACTCCACACTCCGCTCTCCACTCCCCACTCCACTCTCCACTTCATTCCACCCCCTCAGCTAGCAGCTTTTTCATGTATGCGTGCAGAGAGATACTTGGAAAGGTGATTTGCAATTGGCCGTTCTTTTGAGTACGCCGCGGGAGCTGTGCTGATTGCTTCGCAAGTACTGAATAGTTCTTTGCTGATTGCGCACGCAAATGAATGTTGCTTGAGGAATGTGAACCGCATCGGGCCCAAGCCTTCGTGGGAGTACTCCAACGTCGAGTGCCGCTGATCACTGAATGTGAGGGGTCTGAGAAAGGGCAAGGAGGTGTGGTGTGAAGCCTGTGTTTGCAAAAATCGGCGGTCTGCGAGTGTGTCCTGGCTGCTCAAGGTTTATATACTTACACAAAGGCAAGATACATGAACATTTAATCATCTATGGCGCAGTGTCGTCTTGTGTCGATCCTCATCCATGAAGCGCATGATTTCATCGTTTCACGTTAGGAGGAGTGAGTGATGTTGACCTATCAAGTTGTGCTTGCGTTGCAGGAGGCAGAGCATTCTCACTCCGACAGAAATCCATATTGTAATATGAAATGAGTGGCACGAATGTTTAATCGATTTTTGTTTCATGGGCCTTGAATGGGGTAGTTCCAAACCATGATTGATTTCTGTTTGATTTGCAGAGATCGGACTCTCAACCACGACGAGATCCTTTTGGGATTCGGAAGCCTGTCAGCTCTGGGCGGAGCCATTGGCCTAGGGCATCGCCCATCGTGCGGTTGTTATGCTTTCGGCTCGGCCACGTCGGCAGCCCAGGATTGTCGGGCTCGAGTTTGTCGTGTTTTGTATTAAACCATGTTCCGATAGGAAGGGCTTTGTGGGTGTTCAAGGATTCGGATATTTCACACTCGCGGCTCGCAGCGAGAAAGTCTCTTCCAGAGCGTAAGCTTTGGATGCTTTGCATGTCCCGCGTATGCGACACTACAATGCAGCGGCATGGCACACCATTCACATTGGCAGGTACGTAGAGCCCTATTTGCCGTCCGGTTCCAGCGGCCCAGACCTGAGCAGGGTGTGACAGTCTCAGGGGCAGAAGCGATACTAGTGGACTTATGTAAGAAGCACTCTTGGACTCATAGTTTTCCCCCAATCCCTGCGCTTTGTTTTCCGGAAGTCGCCAGGGATGGTGCAGGAGTTTTCCAACAAATTGCAGATCGTATTGGATGCACACATGACATTGGTTCGTTCCACACTGAACTTTTCCACATGTCTCCTGTGAGCTCATGTAAATACGCCGTTCCCCATAGTTATCCCAACAATTGGCTGAGTTGTTCTCAAAATCCTGGTGCGAAGAAAAGTTGTGTTTGTTTTTTGTCAGTGAGTTTGCTGGCGTTTTCTCATGTCTATGTAGAATATATAGCAAGGATGAGGGGTGGATGCAACACTATAATATATGTTTCTAGGCTGTAGTTGTAAGTCAGGTTAAGTAAAACTATATACGCATAGTACGAACCAATTCCGTTTTGTTACTTGCTGAAGATGTGGTGTAGAACATTGGGATTTATTGTGTGTTGAAATATCGTATAGCAGCAGCTGTACAAGCTCGGATAGCTCATCCGACCGTAGCTAAGAAAAGGCCCGCGCTTGTGCGCCTGTCAGTTGCTTGTACGTTTCTTAGCCAAACGTATTGTGCCGCAATGGTTGCGTGTTCATATGGTGCGAATGATACGGGACCTCCATGGAATGGCGATTTACGCTACAAAGCTGGGAACCAACATTGTGACAACCAGCCATATGCATTTTTTCTATGGACACACACATGCACTCACGACTCATGACCATTGCTTCAATGGTTGGTCCCTGAAAAGGCACCGACCATTTGGAGTCTGGGAAGGGGACGAAGATAGGGCCTGGACAGAATCCACAGACGTGTTGGGAAGGAGACCCTGGCATGATGGATAGTTGAACTCTTGAAGGTGTATTTGCTCCGCGTTTGTAAGTCTGGGGCTGGTGCTTTGCCGTTTCGTCATTTGCAGACATCAAGGTGCTTTAGCGACCGGCTGCAGGAAAGTCCAGGATGCAACAGTTCTGAGCTAGCAACAGTAAAGAACGGCGCACGCGAGCCTGATGCCAGCCAGAAGCCATCGTTGCAATCTCCATTACCTGCCAGCTCAAATGTCGCAGACAGCCAACATGACCGAGGTCATTTGACTGCCAATTCTATCATTTTTGTCAAGAAGGAGTGCTCTTGAATCGGCTATCCATCAGGAATAACAATGAGATTTGTGCAGCCTCTGACAGTACCTGGAATTTAAGCCAACACAAACATTGACGTATTGGTCCTGTTTTAGGCGATGGCACCGGTGGCTCGACGCTGAAGGCTGGGGCTCCAGAGTCCACGGGTGGTGATCCGCAATCGTGTGCTCTCTATTAAGTTTACAGCTGGCCTACAAGCTTGCTCATGGTGTCCTTTGGGTGCGGCTCACTTATGTGGCTCACGAACGCAGCGTCCAAGCCGCTTCAGCGGGATCACGAATGCATTCGTTCCAATCTCTTTGTGTTTCGGGCATGGGTCCAACAGATGCATTGCTTTTCGAGGCCACGGTACACGTAGGGATGAGGGCGTTTTTGTCAGTTATTAGGGTTGTTTTTTGTTCACTAGGGCTGGTCCGCCTGGTTGGTTGAACCTGCAGCATATCGTTTCAGGGATATCGTTTCCGGTACCCGGCCCCGATGTGAAGTCTCTCCATCGTACACGCTACTTCACAGCGGCATTGGGAGTACAGAAAGCTAGGACCAGCTCCTCAGGAGGCTTTCCCTGGGAACACGCAATTTCACCCTTTGGTAACCCTTCAGGTGTGCGTAACTCTGGATTGCCAACTGCAGTTGGCCTTTTTTTGTAGCAAGCAAACATTGGTAGGGTTTTGGGAAAGGACTTCCGGGACATGTTTGCCAGAGCCATTCTCAGTCAAGTCCAGCGGCCGTATCGGGTTTGCTCTTCTTTGCCTGTATGTTTGTTTAAGTTTGTATATTAGTTGCTTTAAGTTTGTTTGTTTGTTTGGCTAGTTGCTTAGTATGTGTGTTTATTTCATTAATTGACTTGATTGATTTGATTTGATTGCTTGCTTGTTGTTTGTTTGTTTGCAGGGCCTAGGTTTCTCGCCATAAAGGAGGAGGCTCCAGTATGTTCTAAACCTTTGAGGTTTAGGCTATTCCGACCCGCACGACCATAGGGTTATATAGCATATGTTCTAGTTGAAGCCAATACTTCTCTCGGAGCGCACACGCAGGGATCTTGGTCATTGTGGGCATCGAAATGCTGCAAGGACAAACGATGCCATGCGATGCTGTGCCGAGGCCGCGCAGTGGTTTGATACTTCCGTTCTGAAGTACAACGGCTGCTTGAACGCAACATGAAATTTAGGCCCTGCAGGCGCCCGCTAGCTAAATTAGATTTACCCCATTCATGTTCTCGTCACCGCCTTATCCACAGTGCCTTTATGTATTGAATATGTACTTCACTGATGAAAGCGCATAGTGCGCGACAGGTTGCAGACATGTGCTGGGTACATGTGGAATGAATGAGGTGAGGACACAAATACACACATTGAGGTGTCTGAGCTGATTCGACTTGCTATCATTCCAAAATTTGGTGCAAGCTAAATTCCTTGACCTGAGCGTTTGAGCGGTGCAGCATAGATTCCTTGACTTCAGCCAAAGGCTTGATGCAGAATGTTTGTGAGCCGAGGCTTAGGGCAGCCTCAGTTGCTCGGGGCTTGGGAGTGCGTGCCGCTGTCTGAAATGCATTTGAAGAATGGAACTGGGGGATTGAGGGGGGGGGGGGGTGATTGCGGACCCAGTCATTTTATCTCATTGTAAACTGACACGAGGAATGAGTCACCAGCGGTGGCCTGGCTCGTTTGCGGGCCTTGGCAAGGGCTGACTTTGCGTTTAGACTTCCAGCCTATTGCTCGTTTTCCAGTTGGGTAAGACGGTATGACACTCTCGGAAACAGTTGCACGCCCCAATGTCCCCTCATTCTGGCACAACAAGCAGGGCATGCCCTGATTTGTTCAGGTCACAGATCTTCCTATGGGTATTGCAGTACAGGTTGATGCTCATTTGCCACTGTAGATACATACCTGCGACAACCGCATATGATTGCTGACGACAGATGACCACATTGCGGATCCTGTGCTTTGGTTGTTCTTGTCAAGCGGTTTCTTTTCATACCCAAGTCGATCCTCTTTCAGCGCGCTTTGCATCAATCTGCTCACCGAGGCCACCTAAAGGCACTGGCGCACGGCTCAAGGCTGATGGCTCTTGGGTGCGGCAGCCCAGGCAACAGACATTTATGACTGTACAGCTGGTTCAAACGCAGGGTGATATCCAAGCAGATCCCGCACGTCGACTCATACCTATAGCCCACGGGACTTCATGACAGAGAGGAACAGAGTCAAGAAGTGAAGAGGCGTTAGTAGTTTTTTCAGAATGCCGCTGAGTGCCTCAACGGACATGCAGTGTTTGCGAGCGCGTGTGCGTGTGTGTGTGTGTGTGTGTGTGTGTGTGTGTGCGTGTGTGCGCATG